CATAATGCAAATTAGATTGTTGAGGTGTGGTTCTAAAGATGAATTTTAAAGTTCAAGGTTTGCCTTAATTTTTCTTTGCGCATTGTGTTCTTCTATATTGATTGTTTTCTTTTGTGTCTTGTGTGATTCATCCAGGGGATCTGGTGGAGTACCAATGTGTTATTATGGTGGAGTACCAATCTGTCATTACGATGGAGTTCCAATTTGTCATTGTAGTCTGATAATAAAAAGTTAGAAAATTTATACAAAATCTTATAAATAAATAAATTTCATTGCCATTACTTTTGTACACAAGAGAAAATATTGTACAAATAAATACATTATAGCATTTAAATTTTCATAATGGATGAATTTGGCCATCACAGATCCGGTGTAAATTTCTTACTTTTACCAATCGTCACCCTGTAATTCACACGATTCAACTCCAACAGCCTTTCCAAGGCCTAGTCCCCACTCTGTCATCACCACTAGTATCTGTCGTTGGAGTCGCGCATCCCAAACCCTCACTGCTAAATTACCAGCTGCGTTTTCTTCGGAAAAAACCAACACCACTTGATTAGGGAAGAGTCCATGCTCTCTGGGAACTGAATCCCAATTTCTCTTGTCCTCTTTGTTGTTGAATCTCTAATTTCCTTTTTGGTCAATCCCTAATTTACCACTCTATCAATTTTGTTTTTTCTTTTCTTGAGCACTCCTAATTTCCATGTCACATTTCCCTCCATTTTACATGTTAGAAAAAAAAATGTCATCACATCACATAATTCCCAAGTCAACATACACAATAAGTCAATGTTATCGATTTAAACGTGAATAAAAAATGACTTGATTAATCCATAATAAATTGTTTGAGAATGAAATTGAAACTTTTTTAAAAGTGGGTATCAAGTAGACACATTGCCCTGAAAGTGGATACCAAATGACCAATTCAGCAATTTATTTCTAGATTTCAAAATAATCATAATCATAAATACATTTATAAGTTGCTTAAAAAATTAAGATAATACTTTTATTTTAAAACATATTTAATTTCTCACACACAAATTGTTGGTTTAAAGGAACTCAATGGTTAATGTTTGCATTTAGTGAGTAACATCTCATTTGAATTGTTTGGATACAAGTCATAAGGCATGATTATTTTAATTTCAAATAGGAGTCATAGCAGCTATGCTTATAATTTAGCTTCATACTCTATTTCATGCTAAACCCCTACAACCATTTTTTTAGAAACAATTGAGTATATATAAACTTCATCATGAGCAACTTCTCTAGCTTCAACCATAACTTAAAAGCATATTCTTCTTTTGCTATCTTAAAAGAACTTCATCTAAGAGAGATAAAATGATTAGAGAATAAGTCTTCTCTTAAGTTCTCAACAATGACATCATCTAAATGTGAAATCCTAGTAGATAAAGGTGTCAGAGCGGCTGTAGCGGAAGTATTAGTGTGGAACAACAAACCAAGAGGGGGGTGAATTGGTTCTTAATAAAAACGTGTGCCTTTAAAATTTCTTCTCAATTAAACTTACTTAGCAATTAATAATAACAATTAAATAGAGTATGGTTAAGAGAAATTTGCACAGATGATTTTATCCTGGTTCGGATCTTACCAATCCTACGTCCAGTCGCTTATCTCAAAACAAGATAAACAATTTACTAATCACAACAATTACAAACTACAATCACAAAGATACAATTTGTATAAGTTTAGTAAACACCTCTCTTGATGCCACAAGAGACGAACTTACACCTCCTTTGAATCTTCACAAAGGATGAAACACTTCCTCTGAATACTTCACAAAGGATGACTTCCTCTTCCGAACACTTCCTTAGACACACTAAGGATGAACCAGTTATTCCTCTGTCACCGTAGCAGCACTTCACCAGCTCCACAGACAAGAGTTTCCTTAGCCGAACAATAGCTCACAATTCTCAAGAGTTTTAGAGTTATAGAGCACAAGGGAAGAGTTCTATATCTAACAAATGAAGCCTTCCATTCTACTTATAGGCTTCCTTTCACTAAAAGACAAACTTAACGACTAGTTTCTCCAACAGCCATAAACGACTAGTTTGTCCAACGACTATAAACGACTAGTTTGTCTAACGGCCATAAACGACTAGTTTCTCCAACGTCCGTGTTGAGTGCGGTACTCTTATCGTTAAGCGTCACTATTCACGTGAATAGTGTTACTATTCATATGAATAGTGTTACTATTCATATGAATAGTGTTACTATTCATATGAATAGTGTTACAGTGTTTTCCTACAATGATTTTACAAAACACATTTTCTACTCTTTAAGCTAAGTCCTATTAAATATAGACTTATTGCAAAAGCTTTATAATACAATACAAGTCTTCATTCTTCATGAATCTTGATTGTTCTTGACTTGATTTGGGCATCATCAAAACTTTATCTTCATCATTTTGCAAACAGAAGGCATCTAAACTCCTTATTTCTTCAACAAAGTATGCATTTTGATGTGTCACGCATATTAGAACTAGTTTTTCATGTAAATTTCTTATAGAGCTATTAAAATGGGTCACATTCCGCAAGTCAACCCGGCCTACCACGGATTTGAGCCGGGTTGGGTTAGAAAAAATTGTATTTTTTTATGTGAGTTAGATTTCAACCCGGCTCGTTTAAACCCGGCTCATGCGGGTTGAACCCGCGGTAGGCCGAGTTGGCCACCAATCCACCTACCTAATTTTATTTTATTAAATTTAATTTTAATTTTATAAAAAAATATTTATTATTTTGTTTTTGCTTGAAAAATTATTTAAGTTTCTTATTTTCAAAATTAATTAAACACCCATGTTGAGAGTGAAATTTGTTTAGATTTGTATTATAGAAAATTTGTAATTCTTTTTATTTTAAAAAAATTGTAATTAAGTGAGCCAGTGAGCCAATCCGTTTACCCACCAACCCGTGGTGGGTCGAGCCGAGTTCGAATTTTTCTGGCTCGCTAATAAATGAGCTGGGTTGGGTTGGTTCACTAAGTGACCAACCCGTAGTGGACCGTCGGGTGGCCCGTTTTGACAGCTCTAATTTCTTAGTATTAATCATGATAGGCATCTTATTGAAGATTTTCTTCATGAAAAAAGAAACATACAAAAGAGATTGATCTTGCTTAAAGACTACCTATCTATGAATGTGAAAAGATCATATTAAAATGTTAACACTAGTTTGTTAGGAAATCCAATACATAAATTCATACAATACATGAAGAATATTAGATAGTTTGGTGGATGAAGTACAATAAAGAAATATGAAAGACACATTGTAATAAGAAAGAATGATATATTCTATAAATAATTTCTTGATAAAAGCATATAATAACAAAATATAATGTTTACAAGGAGTTTACATAACACACACTTAAATAGGAAAGAAAAAATTATAATGAATAATTAATACAAACTATACAAGTATGTATCAATCCAACTCATTGTTCAATTGGATAGATTTGACTGTATCTACAACTACAACTAACTATATAACAAAATAATAGAAAATCAAACTAAATCATCTAAAAGTTATGAGTAGACACTTTGAGCATATGCATTTCATCAAATGATGCACGCTAGTGTTACAAAAGACAAATGACCCTCATCGGACACTATCATTAATCAGTCTCAATACATGAAGAAAAGATAAGATATAAATTAATATCTAAGTTTCACATAATAGATGATATTCAAGATTTTAAAGTTATTGCTATTGTTAACTTTAGTAGGGAGACTTTTCATGATAATGAAAGTAATTAAATTAGTATTAACTTTGTGCTTGGAGCTGAAGTTTTGATAGTTATGCTTTACAAAATATACAAATAGATTTGGTTAGAGTAATATTTATGTTGAATGTGATTCATAGAAAGTTATCAAAGCTTTCATTGGAAGTACATTTGCACTTACATGCGACATGGAAAAAATGTATAGCACTTTGTTCTTCTATTACTTTTTATTCTTAACATATTTTTCAAGAGAGAAACTTCTATGTTGATAAATTACTTCCGTACTAGACTTAACTTTGTTTGGTAGTATAATATTCTTACCTTATTTTGATTTGTTTAGGAATATGTGTGGTTCCTTCCTTTTAAGTTTGTTTAATTTCTTCGTGAGTTTTGACTTATTCCCTTCATAACTTTACGTTATTTTTTTTCTTTTGATGTGCTCCACATAATAAGGGAAACTTGAGGTGTGAAGATTGTTAAGATGATTTAATTAAATAATTATGCTTTTCACGTCAATATTTTAAAAGAGTATATAAGTCCTATTTTTTTTTTCTTAAAACACGTGAATAAAATGAAATATATATTTCATTAAATCATATAGAATGCTATTCTTGGTAAACATGTGAAATAATGTCTTCGAGCATTATCAATGTTAATTTTTATTTTGAATGATTGGTTTATAATAAATTTAACAAATGATTAGTTAGATAAATTTATATAATTTAACTTTTTTTAATGATTTTGCTCAACCTACTCGTGCTAAAATTGTTTTTGTGTACTTAAACTTATATTATTATTATTTTTAACTAAAAACTCTCCATATAAAAGATTCAATAAGAGTGAAAGATAAATATCATCAAATACACAATACAGTACAGGCCATACTTAGCAATTTACTATATGTAAGTATTCTAAACAGAGTTGTCACGATAAAAACAGTCAAAACAACATTAAAGATAAAATTATAAAAAAAAAATATGTAAATAAAAAAGTAAGTATAAAAATGTTTCAGTTTTATAGGTTGTCTTCATTAATGTAAACGTACATAAATAAAAAATTAATAGAAATAGAGAAAAAAAAATATTTTTCTTATTTCAAAGTATAACCTCTTTCAAAAGATTTTTGTGTTAAAATAATATCTTCCTTATTTTTCGGTTATGTTTTAATTTTTAAAATTTAAACTCGTAATAAAAGGTAACAAATTAAAATTAACGAATTCAAAGGTAACAACAAATCAGGTCAAGTGAGTTTATATAAGAAGCTGCGCCCACGGAATTCAACATTTGCCAAAAACCTTAAAACGACAGCAAATTTTGTGTTTCTCTTCTTTCCCATCTCTTGGTAATTGTTCAGTTCTCTGTTTCACTCCGATTGCAGAGCCACCTGCAGAAAAACGATAATTCTCAAACCCCTCACAGGTAACACCCTTCTCAGTTCTTTTCTTTTTCTTCTGCATCATTTTGAAATAAATAAATACGTGCTCTTTTCTTCTGCATGAAAGCTTCAAGCTTTTTACATGCTAGCCTTCGGGTTTGAGATCATTTCCATTTTTAACGACATTTTTTTTATTAGTTCTCACTGTTTTGTTCAACATCTTGCAAAGTCAAAAGCTTTTTCACTCTCTCGTTGTACCCCAATCAGTATTCCTATCCGGGCTGATATACAGAGTGTGTTGTTTTCATTTATTTTTCATTTGTTGGTTGGGGTGACGCCTCTGGTGGATCGTTTACTTGTTATCACTGATTTTTCTCTTATTCGTTTGAAGCAATTTTGTTGTTTTAGTATATTTCTTGTGTAGAGACTGTTTTTTCTGTGTTTTGTGTTTTAGTGTGGGATGGTGCAGAGGGTGTTTTATTTTTTATTTTTTGCTGATGGTTTGCTTGTTATTCTGATTCACAATTTCTTAGTTTCTTCCTTGTAAAACCTTTTTTTTTGGTACTTTGTCTCTTCATCGATTAAATTGCTGCATATGGTGGAGGTTTTTGCCAATCGTAAAGCATGGATAATAATTGTGCTTGTTTGGTTTCAAGTTCATCTAAAATCATGTTGAAATGCCATATAATATATTTTTCGGTAATTGTTCACATAAAAGAAATTGATTTTGAATCTAGAACTAATTTTGAGTTGAAACACTCCAAATAGTTTTTGTGCTGTATCGATTTTTTAAATTGAATCTACTTCTTAATTTTTTGTGTTGAAATAACTACAAATGTTTTTCCCTTCAAAATATGATGCCACAAAGACCATTGACAAGTGAAACAAACAAGGAATTAGGTAGACATAATGGAAGAATTATGAAAGTTAGGTCATGATCTGATAGGAAGTAGAAACAAATGCATATGAAAGCTTCTAGTGCCTAATTTCACCATCTGAAATTTCCTACCCTTCTGAGTTTCACCTAATTCTCACGTTTTAAGAAAATCCCATGGATATGTGAATGCTATTTTACTTGTTTGCCTAGCTTGCTTTGGTATGAAATCACTGTTGATCACATTTAAAATATGGTCTCAGGTTAGAATAGTCATTGTACAAGTGTCAAGCCCATGAGTGTGTTGGTATTGGCAAATGTGTTTACTTATTTAACCAGCTAAATGATTATTTGATTAAATTTCGACGAAGCATACTCACCTCTTAGATGGATCTAATAGTTTTTAATTTGGAATCATATAGGCATGTACTTCTGTCATTGTTAAAACGCGTTTTCTTTGTATGTTTTGAATCACTTATTCCTAATATCTATAGAACAAACTAGTTAACTAGAATCAATTGGCTGATTTGTCCTCCAGGAGTTAAGTCCTGTAAATCTTATGATTAAAAGTCACATGTTGCTGTTTTGTTAGGGAATTTGATTTTCGCTCATTTTCTTAGTTTGTTTTTATGCATCCAGATTGTTAAAACACTAGCATCAGAGAGAAGTCATAAATACTGAAAAGGTTGAAGTTTACGTGTCACAAGAGATTTAAATAATTATTTTCTAAATTTATTTAGCTGGATTGGATGTTTAAGGTTGCCTACTAAATTTTCTGCCTTCTTTTTTTTCAGATGCGCCTTCCTTAAATGTTTTGCTTTTGGGTGGTTGAAAGCTAAGCGGGTGCTCCTTTAAGGAGTTCGTCTTCGGTATTATCTAGTGTCCTTTACCAAAACCAGGGAATGCTGAAAGATGTGGTTGAAAGTTAAGAGTTCCCTCTCTAGTGTTAATGAAGTTGTAGCACCATGTGTGCTAGACTTATTAATCCTTGATGAGATTGGATATATAGACCACTGTGAATATCTGTTTTATGCGCATTTGCCTGAGGAAGCTGGAAATCTGAGCAATTGTGTGAAATCAAAACGTGATGTTTGTGAAGATGGCTGAGCTTTGAGCATCATTGGAATAGTTTACTACTTTCTGATAACGTAAGCACCTGGACTCAGTATATAAATAATACTATCGAAAGTAGCATTAGTCTTATACAAAAAAGAGCTGCAGAAAATGGAACAGAAGGGAGGTGTGCTTCTGCAAAAATATGAACTTGGTAGGTTATTAGGCCAAGGGACCTTCGCAAAGGTCTACCATGGTAGGAATCTGATAACTGGCATGAGTGTGGCCATTAAGGCAATTGATAAGGAAAAAATTTTGAAAGTTGGATTGGTTGATCAGATTAAGCGTGAAGTTGCAGTGATGAGATTAATCAGACATCGACATGTGGTTGAGCTTTATGAGGTAATGGCCACCAAAACCAAAATTTTCTTTGTCATGGAGCATGCAAAAGGTGGTGAGCTATTCAACAAGGTACTCAAAGGAAGGCTGAAGGTGGATGCTGCTAGGAAATATTTTCAGCAACTGATTAGCGCTGTTGACTACTGCCATAGCAGGGGTGTGTGTCATCGAGACTTAAAGCCTGAAAATATACTTTTGGATGAAAATGATAATTTGATGGTTTCAGACTTTGGGTTGAGTGCCTTGACTGAATCCAAACGCCAAGATGGGTTGCTCCATACTATATGTGGTACCCCTGCGTATGTTGCTCCAGAAGTGATAAACAGAAAGGGTTACGATGGGATGAAAGCAGATATATGGTCATGTGGGGTAATCTTGTTTGTTCTGTTGGCTGGTCATCTTCCATTCCATGATTCAAATCTGATGGAGATGTACAGGAAAATCAGTAAAGGGGTATTCAAATTTCCTAAATGGTTTGCACCAGATGTTCGCCGGTTATTATCCAGAATATTGGATCCAAACCCAAAGACCAGGATATCAATTGTCAGAATTATGAAATGTTCTTGGTTTAAAGTGGGGTTGGAGAATCCTGCTATGACTGCTGCAACCGAAAACCAAGAACCAGCTGCAGCTCCAGCTCCCGTGAATGCTGATGGAATACTTGAAGCGTGCGAGAATGACGGTCCACCTATTGCAGAGTCAAAGCATGAACTGACCAAGCCTTGTAACTTGAATGCTTTTGCTATTATCTCCTTCTCAACTGGTTTTGATTTATCTGGTATGTTTGAGGATAGTGTTCCAATGAAAGAGATGCGGTTCATGTCAAATAAGCCTGCTTCGAGTATAATCTCTAAGTTGGAAGAAATTTGTAAGAGGCTTTGCTTGAAAGTAAGGAAGAAAGATGGAGGCTTGTTGAAGTTGGAGGGTTGGAAGGAAGGCAGAAAAGGGAGTATAGGTGTTGATGCTGAGATTTTTGAGATTACGCCACAGCTCCACATGGTGGAACTTCGAAAGTCCAATGGTGATACCATGGAGTATCAGAAGCTTTTTACACAGGATATCAGACCAGCACTTGAAGACATTGTTTGGACATGGCAAGGAGAACAACCACAGCAAGAGCAACAGCATCATGAAGTAGTTCTGGAAGAGCACCAACCTTAGTTTCCTCATCAACATTTCATCCTTTGCTTGTTCATTCTCTCTGCTTCTTTTGTTATTTTTCACAGAATAACATGCCTAGCTAGTTCAGTCTTATTTGATGGATACTTGAATAATTGTCTACACAAATTGCCAAGTTCACCAATTTGGGTGTGCTTTTTTCCATCTTAATAAGATTTTTTTTACTAATTTCCCTACGAATTGATTTGGACATGATATGATTAATTATGCATTTTATTTTATTTAAAGGTTGACTCTGAAATTCGATTGGGTGAAAATTAAAAAAAAGATGATATCATATACTATTTTTTACTTTGATTGGCCAATGTTTTGGACCGAAAAATATTTGTTTCCTATCTTTCCTCGAATTAATCTCAAGAGATTATAAACAGTGGTTTGAAAGGAAGAAAGTTTAAAATCATAGAAGAATTAAAATCAAAATTAACTTATTTTGTAGAGAATAAAAATAATTTTCAAATTTTAAATATTAGAAATAAAATAAAACAAAAAATAATTTATTTTTCTTGGATAAAAAGAAAACATTCTTTAATTTGTTTGCTTTTTAAAATTTGACAAAGGATGTGAAATATACTTTGTCAAATTTAACATACCATGTTTTTGAGTATTAGAAATAAATTATAATAAGAGTCCTACAATTATTTAATCTTATCTTACTTTATGCATCACAATTTGTTTATGTCCCAATGGGGGATACAATATATTTTTAGTCATTTATTATATTTAAAATTTGGCATCTTATCTTAGAATTTGAAAATCTTATCACATTTCAAAATTTTGTTTATAATCAAGTTGTAGTAGGTAATTATCATTTATACTAACAATATTAGTACTATTGTTATTATTATATTTTGTGTCACTTGTTTGTTATTATTATTTTTATTGTATCGTTATTATTATTCAATATTAAGTGTGGTTAGTCATTGTTATTATTATGATAGATTTTGGTATTGTTATTATTAAAGTAAATTGCAACTCAATATCAGTTTTTAGTAAATTAGACCTGGTATAATAGGCACCATGCGTATTTTAACGATAAAATAAAGCTAGATAAATGAATAAGGATCAGTTGAAACTGAGTATAAAAAAAAATTACTTTAAAATTCTATATAATTGATTTTTCTTGTGATAAAAAACTTTTGAATTTCAGAAAATTTAGAAATTTTAAAATTTGAATTGATTATTTTTAATTTTTTAATGTTTTAAAAATCAATTTAAATTTCTTGAATGTCAGATTTGTAGCTTCAATGCATTATTTTTTTAAGCATCCAAGCTCAATTTCTATTGCGTAAAAAAGGTTTACATGTATTTGCTCCGATAAGTTAAAATTTAAATCAATAGTTACTAACTAAAATATAAAAAAAAATACCAGAAAACTAATAAAAAAATATTAAAATTGTATTAAATCACTACTACACTATATTTGGTAACAAGTTCCAGAAACTATGATCGCTTTTAATTGTATTAAAAGAAACAGTTTTATATTGTAATTTTATTGTTCAATGACAATAATGACAAGAAAAAGAAAGAAAGGTTTAGTTTTGCTGAAATCCTTCAACTGCATAGCGAGTACAACTGTGACAAAAATTTTAATATACAAAACAAACAATTATATATATATATATATATATATATATATATAT